TACATACTACAGCAGCACAACATGCGTGGTTGACTAAATCCACGGATGCAGAACCGTGGATTCAGAGAAGCTAAGTGTACAGAGGGCCGACGATAAGTTATACGTGGATTTTCCACTGTGCGGGGCGTCGGTGCCCCAACTCCCCTCTTTGTTCAAGGGTTAACTGTACAAGCTATGTAAATTCCTGGGTGCAAAGTACTGCTGTGAGCACAGTGAGAAATCACAAAGAGTAAAAAAGGCAGTTTCTTACTCCTAAAGAAATGAAATTGACACATGGGCTAATGCAGGAATGGGCAGGAATGGGGCCATCTATATGTGGGTCATTCCATAGGCAGAGTGGCCTTTGGGATTTTCTCAAATGCAAATAAAAAACAACAAAGATTTAAAGATAATCAAAATAATATCTAATGCCTTAAATCCAAATATGGTGACTATAATAACCTTTATAAAGACATCGTGGACCAAATTTTGTGTGTGAATGTGATATCTGGCTTCATCTTCTTTTATTTTTTTATTTTCTCTTTCCTTCATTTCCTTGTTGATTATTTTTATCCTGTTATACTGTGTGCATTTTGTAAGACTCCTAAATATTTTGGAACAAGATAGGACTGTTAATCCATAAATTAGAATTGATTTTATAATATTAATTTCAGTGATTTTGATTCCATTATTATAAGGTATTATTTTTGTTCTTCAGAGAGTTCTTTTCAATAGTATCCTGTTCGTATTTCATGGAGGCACACTGTGTTTCTTCTCTTGTCTCTTGGGGATATTAATAATTTTTTAATTTATTTAAAAAAATTTTTATACAACTTTTAAAGATTACTTTCCATTTACAGTTACTGTTAAATATTGGCTATATTCCCCATGTTGTACAGTACATCCTTGAGCTTATCTTACACCCAGTAGTTTGTTTCTCCCACCCTCACCCCTGTATTCCCCCTGCCATCCCCCCACTGGTAAGCACTAGTTTGTTCTCTGTATCTGTGAGTCTGCTTCTTTTTTGTTATATTCACTAGTTTGTTGTATTTTTTAGATTCCACATATAAGTGATGTCATACAGTATTTGTCTTTCTCTGTCTGGCTTGTTTCACTTAGCATAATGCCCTCCAAGTCCATCCATGTTGCTGCAAATGGCAAAATTTTGTTATTTTTTTTATAGAATACTGAGTAGTATGCCATTGTGTGTGTGTGTATAAATATATTTATCACATTTTCTTTATTCATCTGTTGATGGACATTTAGGTTGCTTCCATATCTTGACGATTGTAAATAATGCTGCTCTGAACACTGGGGTGCATGTATCTTTTCAAATTAGTGCTTTTGTTCTTTTCGGATATATACCCAGGAGTGGAATTGCTGGGTCATAGGGTAGTTCTAGGTTTAGTTTTTTGAGAACCCTCCATACCGTTTTCCACAGTGGCTGCACAAATCTGCATTGCCACCAACAGTGCACAAGGGTTCCCTTTTCTCCACATCCTCACCAACATTTGTTATTTGTGGTCTTTTTGACGATGGCCATTCTGACGGGTATGAGGTGGTATCTCATTGTGGTTTTGATTTGCATTTCCCAGGAATAATTTTTAATTATTGTTTCTTTTCCCTGCAGTTTGTTTCCTCAAGCTCTTCTCCCAGCTTATAGCTTTTCTCAGGTATTTGGGGCTGCCTGGAAGCCCTGAGTCGGGGGTGGGCTTGCCAATGGGAAGCTTCGCTGTGGCTGCTGGGAGTGGCTGCTTATGCCTCCCTTGCGACACACGGCGGCAATGTGTCTAGATATTTTCTCTTGTGCTGGTCATCACCAGAAAGGTCTCTCCCAGCTTCCAGGCTATAGGGCAAAGGCAGGGCAGTCTGCTTCTGAGAGCCAGGCAGAAGAGGTCTGGGGTCTCAAGGGTAAGCATTCAACGTTCTGTATGTGCACAGACACCTGCTCTGTGCATAATGACCCTCAGCTGTGCCGGCCAGCCCTCACCTGAGCTTGTCAGCCCCCAGTCCTAAGTATGCCCACTCCACCCTGGGGGGTGCGGGAAAGGGGGTAGCCCCAGAGGTGTAGAGTGGGTGAGGGGAGCTAGGGTTCTAGTTCCAGCTCAGACAACTTGTACCAAATCCTTGTTTTATCTCCCTCCCCTCTGCTTAACTTCCTGATGCCAGTTCCTGAGCCTTTTGGGGATTTGGCAAGATGGTTTCCAGCTTCCCCCCTGCTGGCTCTCGCCTTAGCTCTGTAGTTCTGCTGAGGCGATTATACTGTCTCTCAGCTTTACGGTTTCCAATCTTCTGTTGCCGCTGTCTCCTTTCCTAGTTTCCCCTTCTGTGTGAATTTCTGTCTTAAAAAAAAAAAATCTTGTAACTATAATCCTGGCTTAATTTGGGAGGAAGAAATACTAGATACATTAATTACATTTTAACTTCACTTTCCCACACAACTCAATAACCCAACTCACTCCTTTTTTTAGTTCACGGGTTTGAGACTGTTAATAAATTATGTAACTTCTTTAAATCCTGCAAAATAGGAATATTTCTTGTCCTGCCTACCTTATAAGTTGTTGCTGCAGCTGCCCTGAGTTACCACGTGGGTCTGAGGGCAAAATAACCAGCCGTACTTGCATGGCTCTAGCAAAATCAGGCTCATAGGGTGATGGTGAATATCCTCCCAGGTCAGTGAAAATACTCAGACCTGGCCTCTGGTTTTCATCCTTCTTTCCAGATCAACAACTTAACGTGACCCTCAGCTTTTGTTGACCAAGCCTTTGGGAGACAGCAGAGTGTACCTAGTCTGTGTTGGAGGCACACCCCTCCCTGACCTGGGACACAGATGACTATTATCTGTCTCAGGACTTTTGGAAGAGGAATTATTCTCTCCATTTCCCTTCCTGCCTTTTGCTCTGTTTTCTTCTAAGTAAAGCACTCTGCTTTCGTCCACCAACAGCAATACGCTTCCCTCTTTTAATGGTTTGCATTTCTCTTTTCCTGCCCAGCGCGCTTTTCCATCCCTGGCCCAAGTGCACACACCTTACAGGACCCCGTCTCCATTCAGTCCCCCAGGCAGTACCTTTGCTCCCATGGGTCTGCACAGCCCAGGGGCCGGTACCGGCCAAGTGCAGCTGGAAGGGGCTCTGGGGCTTCCGCAGGTTGGTCCTCTCTAGTGCTGGCAGAGGGGCCGAGATTTTTCCTGGAAACCCTCCAGTTACTGAAAAGGCAACCATTGGTTTCACAGGGGTATAGAAGAAAAATTTCCTGACCTGTTTAAGGGAATATAAATCTCCTTTAGACTGAAAATACCCTGACCTCTCTTTTCCCATTCCCATCACCTGCTTGCCCTTGACTACAGTGGAGAGTGGAGGGAGCCCCCAGAGCAAAGAGTAACGGATGTGACTGCTGCCTGGCTGCGGCGGGCACTCCGGGTCGGCAGGGGTGGGGAGGACCAAGGAGAACTCAGTAAAGCAGGAACGGGCTCTCTGTGGATTTCTGCCTCTGTGACAGGGCCCTGTCAGGTCCCCCCACCTCCTCGGGGAGGCTCTGCTGCTGTTCTCCTTCCCACCCACCCCCACCCCCCAACCAGCTTCCTCCCTGGAGGGCGGGGAGGCGGCTTCCAGTGTCTGATATTCAGTGTCAGGGCAAGGCTCGTGGACCACATCCGTCTCCAGCGTGAGGGTGGCGGCAGGGAGGGCAGGAGGCCTCAAGCCAAACTGTGCCAGGGATCCTCTGTTTGCTCTGCACTGGAGTGGCAGAGAGGCAGAGAAGGGACGTGATGCCTGTGAGATGCTCCCCATGGAAACCTGGGTGTTCGTTTCCCGGGGGTGAGAAGAGACCGTCCGTGCTTGCTTGGATGTGGGGGGTTGAGGGGGGGTGGGGATTGGTGTAGTTTGCTGTCCGGTCCTCAGCGTCACACACACACATTCCTCCCTCCCTTCCTCCAAGAGAGGGGAACGCCCGGGGGATCTCCAGGCTGCTCTGAAATCCCCACCTCCCACCCCTTAGGGCAGAGGCCCAGACAAACGGCTCCTGTTGGGAGCCCCGTTGTGGTGTGTTACCCAGGAGGGCGGTAAGAAGGCCGGGCTCCAGGGGAGGCAGGTGCAGGGGGAGGAGGCACTGGAGGGCGGGGCTGGAACTGGGAGGAAGCCAGGCCGAGCCAGTTGCTGAATGAGGCTGACATGGCAGCAGCTCTGCCCTCTCCCTTCTGCTAAAAATACCACCTTTCCAGACGGCCCTCCTCCCCTCTGTGCCTACGCCAGGCTTTGTCTGGCGGGTCAGTGGGGCGCAGAGCGGAGAAGGGCCTGATCTGGAAAACCGGGTTGACCTGAGGAGGCCTCCTCGGGGGTACAGTCTGAGAGCAGGAAGCATGGTGCCCACCCTGCGGCCTCACGTGCACAGGGAGCTGAGACCCTGGGGGCCGGACTGGAGAAGGAGGAAAGCGATGCCACCGGCAGCTTCATGCTCACTCCTGACCTCCTGGGAGACCAGCAAACCCTGGAGGGAAGGGAGAGAGTCCCTGGCAGGTGCAGCCAGACTGCCAGGACCCGACCCAGCCCAGCTCTCACGGTCCATTCGTCTGGTGCTCCCTGCCCGGAGAGGTGACTAATGCTGGATTATGACTGGGGAGCCGCACAGATCTGGGCTTGTCGCCCTGTCCTACCACTCACTGTATGGCTTTCCGCAACTTGCTGCATTTTTCAGATAGGGATAAAGACAGTACATATCTTAGAAGGTTGAGAGAGAAGCCTTGGGAAGAACAGTGCTGTGCCTGGCACAAAGGAGATGTAAAAGAAATGACAGCTATGATGATGATCTCTCCCTGTGCGTATGGACCACGCGGCCCCAGCATGTGTTTGCACGCGAGGAGACAGTCACCACTGGGGGCTCTGTCCTCTGCAGAGGAAGCTTGGTTGTACCACCCTGTCTGTAAAGGGCAGGTGGCCTCCCTGCCCCCGCGCCCGGGGCCGGGGTGCCCTGGACCCTGAGTTCCGGGCTCTGATGCTAACTGTTGTCTGCCTGCTTCCCCGCAGACCTGCGTAGGATGACGGCCGGCTTCATGGGCATGGCGGTGGCCATCATCCTCTTCGGCTGGATCATCGGCGTGCTGGGCTGCTGCTGGGACCGAGGCCTTATGCAGTATGTGGCAGGGCTTCTCTTCCTCATGGGAGGTAAGACTTGGGGGCTGCGGAATTTGGGGGGGGCTCCTGGTTACTGGGATTCCGAGAGAATGGCTGGTGGGCGTGTGGGCGAAGGCCCAGGCTCGGCGGGGCCCTTTCATTCACTCAATCAGCGAACATGTTTAGAGCTCCCCTTAGCCACTCTCCACTGCTGGTCCTTGCACTCGGGCGTCTGCCCACCTGGTGTGGGAAAGACTGTGACGATGGCATTGAGCGAGGTGTCAGATCTGGGGCAAGTGAGAACCCACGTAATACTCGGGCGTTTTATGCACATACTGTACTTTGGGGTGGGCGGCAGGTGCTATCTGGGCAGTTTCCCCTTCAAAAGCATACCTTTACCCTTGATTTATGGGTCTTAATGCCGCTCCGTTTCCAAACGAGGCTCTAAAGGTGGTAAGACGGGGCTAGACCTTCGTCACACGTCTCCCTTACCCTCTATAACTGTCAGGGCCATAGAACCGATCGCACCCTTGTAAAGGGCTGTATATGAGCAGAACTGTGTAGCTATGAGGGAGTAGGCTCCAGTCCACGGGAAGTAAAGGTTAATCCACTATCTACACGTGCCTCTTTTCTCCCTGAGGAGCTGAGATGTGCTTTTTGGTCTCCTGGTTTGAGTCTCAGTCTGAAGCCAAAGCTAACCGTCGGTAGGCCCATCACAGTACACTCCTCGGGGAGAAGTGGGTGGATGACTTGCATGGAGTTAGGAAGAGGGGGAATTGGGCTTGGACAGAGGGAGTTAGAAATGTGTGTGGGGAAAAAGGACAGTGAGTCCCATGCGTGGAAACCACCGTCAGGTAGATGGTAGACACCACGTGAATGGCCCGACTCAGGGTCTCAGCAGGGGCAGGCGGTGGAGGGGTGGGTCTGGCTGGAGAAAGGAGGCGGTATCCTTCTAGGTGGACAGAGAGATCTGGGGTTCAGTGAGTGAGCTGTGGGTTGGGAGAGGAGGAGAGTTGCAGGATTCCACCTCGTGCCTGACCGCTTATCCTTGTTCCCCCAAAGCACAGACACCCTGTGCCTCCCGGATCCTCTGCCGTCAGGGTCAGCTGCCCCTGCCCAGCACTGCCTCCCTGTGGGTCCCACAGCGGCACTTAGGGCAGAGGCTGGGGAGGGAGGGGCACGGTGGCTCCTTCACCCCTCCTTCCGGTCTCCCGCTGAGACGGGGGCCCCCAAAACCAGCCGCACCGCCTTTTCTGCACCCGGGTGTCCTCCTCACTGAAGCGAGGGTCACACTTGGCCCGGGATTTCCATACTTGGTGTTAGCAGCACGGAGTCTTTTTTGTTTCCACCTTCCAGTCAGAATCTTCTGTGGACCCCAAAAAGTGAAAAGATAAAAGTGGAGTGGCTCTGTTTGTAGTGAATGTTCTCTCTAAGACTCTTGTGGTTGTACAGAGATGGGCTCCAGTAAAACGGGGCTTTTCTAAGGCTCTAGAGAGGGCCCCCAGGGATCCGAGAAAAGCTGAGCAAACAGGCCTCGGGCAGAGCAGAAATCCAGGAGCCCTGGGAGCCGATACTCTTTCTCTCTGCCTCTTCCGAGGCGATCGTCATCCCTTGCACGTTCCCCTCTCCAGGCCGGCACTTGGCTCACATCCTGCCCAGGTGCTACGTAAGCCTTCCAACTCTGACAGCTTTCAGAGAAAGAGTGATGGGCCCAGTGGTCCTTCCAGGCCAGGCCACACATCACTGTGACTTGAAGAGGGGGTGGTCCCTGAGACACTTCCCACTCACCTGAGACCCCGGGTAGGAACTCTCCCAGAAGAGGGTGTGGGGCAGACAGTGGGGGGCAGGAGGGTGCCTGGAAGCCCTGTCTCCCATTTGCTAAGATACCGCCCAGGAGCCCTAGGGCTCTGGGGACGCCAGGAAAGCCCTTAGGCTGGACTGGGGACCTGAGGCCCCTCCCCACAGGGAATGAGTGAGGGTGTTGCTTCCCTTCTGCCTGGTTAGTGGTTCTTAATCACCACACAGTCGAATCACCTGCAGACCTTTTAAAAGTACTGATGCTAGGGCCTCACCCCAGACCAATCCAAGCTGAACTTCTGGGGGTGACGCTCAATAAGGGGTGAGAGCTGGGGGAATAGGTGACCTTTAAATTTCCCTCCAGCTCTGAAATGTTACGTTCTGGGGATGAATCAGTTGGGCAAGACCTCTCGTGATTTGTTTTCTTCCTTCCCCCGATGCCCCCCAGCCGCCCCATTTTATGACTACCTTAAGCAGCATCAGACAGGGAAGTGCTGTCACAGGGCTTCGGTTATTACTGTGGAGGCCTATCCGAGCCCTGATCACCGAGGGTCCCAGCTAAACCCACTTCCCCAGCACACGCACTCCCTTTCTTTTTTTTTTTTAATGGAAAAACCATAGTTCCTAATAAAATGTTAGCGTCCAGAAGAACTCTGGGGAAGCTTGCTGTCCTAAGAGCTGTTTCTTCCTGACGGGAGCGTTGTCCTGGTTGGAGTGGGGGCATCTCATCGACCATGGGGCTTGTGTCCATAGGTAGAACTGTCCTCTCCCCAAAGAGGCTGGGGAGGAAAGTGGTGTCCACATACCTCATGGGTACCGTCAGGGAGGCCCTAGTAGGAGAGGAAGAAGGACAAAGCCGCTAAGAGCTGACCCCTTAAACCCTGGTCTTTGGGGGAAGATAAAGCTCTAGGCGGGAGAAGGCACCCTCTTCCTTTTCAAATTAGTGCCCTTTCCAAGGAGGCCCGACACAGCTTCAGGGGGTCCCAATGCCCAGGGCAGCTGCAGACTGCTGACCCCATGAGTGTGGTTTAGTTGGAGGCTGGGAGGAGGCAGACTCAGTGTAGAGGCTGTGCCTCCCCCCATCCCCGCTCAGCACCGAGAGCTGCTGAGAGGTTGGGTGCCAAACCCCAAAATGAAGTCTTGTCCTGTAGAACCCTGTGTGTCAAAGAGAGACATGTCAGCATCAACCCCTCGCAGAGCCCGACCGGTGCCTGCCCTCCAGGGCAGCCCCTCTAGGGCTGACCTTTGAAGGGCTTGGAGAATCAGCTACCTGTGACAGGAACCTCCTAAGCACGGCAGAGCAGTCACTCAAACTGTAGATATTTGTGACCAAAAGGCCCCACGGCCTTAGCTGTCACCCAGATTGGCATTTCAGGCACCCGTAACTGAGCACAGACTAGGGCCCAAGGGGTTAGACTGGGCAGCAAGTGAGAAAGGTGGTGGGCACCAACTGTCGCAGTGCTGGCCGGGTGTGGGTGTGGTGAGCAGCTGGAAAAGGAGGGGTTGGCAAGAGTGGAAAAGGTAAATTTAAAGTCGGGAGTCTGAAGATGGAATTGCAGTTGACTTCAGATGAACCGGCCGAGGCCGAAATACAAACAGAAGAGTTCTCTTCGCAACCTCTTCTCTGTTCCCACACGAAAGGAGGTGGCCCACACTGGGTGCTTCTCTTCTCGATTTAACTGTTTCCGGGGTTCAAGAGAGGGCACCCCACACCTCGTGAGATGACTAGCAACAAAGTGTTTAATTAACGCTCAGCCCAGAGGAGGCACTTAGTTAAGTATGGCAGCTCTGTGGGGCCAGGAGGCTGCGGGTGGTGAGTGGGATCCAGGTTCCCCTTTGGCGTGGCCTCCAGGGGAGAATCTAGTCCAGACTGGCACAGCGGCGTTTGGGTGCAACTGCCGGAAACAAGTGTCTGGATTCGTCATCAGTGAGATTCAGAAGCACAGGGACAGGATGACATGGGGGGCGGGGCCGTGTGGCAGGGAGCGTGTGACTCCTACGATTACTTGTAATTCACTCGCCGGGCGAACCTAGACCCACCTCATGGGCACAGATCCACAAGATGGGTGTGAACATCCAACACCCATGCCCCGCCCCTCAGCACGCGCTCACATGTCCTCGTCCTCCCACTCTTGGGAGGCATCCGTCATCTCTGCCGTGAGCTTTCACCTAGGCTAATGCTGGAGCCGCCTATCTAGACGCTGGCACCGGGCAGTCAGCCCTTCACAGGGCAGTTGGCATAATATTTTTGAAACTATAAATCAGATATTCACTTATCTACCAATGCTCAAAAAGCTTACACTTGAACTTAAAATCCAAACTCCTTACCCTTCTTTAGAAGCTGTGTTAGTTAGCTTGGGCTGCTCTAACAAAATACCAGGCACCGGGCGGCTTAGAAAGAACAGAAGTTTATTTCTTGCTGTCCTGGAGTCTGGAAAGTCCAAGGTCAAGGCACTGGCAGATTCAGTGTCTGGTGAGAACCTGCCCTCTGGGTCATAGATGTCATAGATGGTACCTTCTTGTGTGTTCTCATACGGTGGCAGGGCCAAGGGAACTCTCTGGGGCCTCTTTTATTTATTTTAAAGTTATTTATTTTTGGCTGTGTTGGGTCTTTGTGGCTGTGTGCAGGCTTTCTTTAGTTGCGGCGAGTGGGGGCTACTCTTTGTTGCGGTGCGCGGGCTTCTCATTGCGGTGGTTTCTCTTGTTGTGGAGCACGGGCTCTAGGCACGCGGGCCTTAGTAGTTGCAGCACGCAGGCTCAGTAGTTGTGGCACGTGGGCCTTAGAACACGTGGGCTTCAGTAGTTGTGGCACGCAGGCTCAGTAGTTGTGGCTCATGGGTTCTAGAGTGCAGGCTCAGTAGTTGTGGCTCACGGGCTTAGTTGCTCCGTGGCATGTGGGATCCTCCCGGACCAGGGCTTGAACCCGTGTCCCCTGCATTGGCAGGCAGGTTCCTAACCACTGCGTCACCAGGGAAGCCCTGGGGCCTCTTTTATAAGGTCACTAATGCCATTCACGAGGGCACCACCCTCATGACCTAATCACCTCCCAAAGGCCCCTCCATTTAATACCAGCGTCTCGGGGGTTAGCATTTCAACATATGAATTTGGGGGCACGCAAACATTCAGTCCACGGTGGAAACCCTGTGTAATCTGGCTCATTCTACCTCCCCCACCTCCTTTCCTATTCCTTCCCCTATGCTCAGGTCACTCCAGCCACACAGGCTGCCTCTCTCCCAGTACACATACAGTTTTAC